CCTTTGTGTAGGAAGAATCAGAACAATTAACATAAAATCCATTTGGAAACATTCTATGTTGCGCATCTGACAGCTTTTCATTGGCATCTCTTTCCCTCATACATGCGTCCTATGAGAGAGGAAAGGTCGAGAATCACAGTTTTCATTTTATAGAAGAAGCAAGTGAGCGAAAATGAAAACTCACAATGCAGGGAACCACTAGAGTCATTTGCATTAATTTTCTCTCCCTACTGAATTTGTGCCATCCAGTCTTAGATAAGGCCGTGTCTATGGCTCAGCTTTATGTGAACTTTTTTCTCCTGTAAAATAAGGAGAATAAAGGACTAAATTAAAAGCTGATTTGCCGTGTAGGAAGCGGTGGCCTTAAATCTCCCTTCCTGTTTATTATTTTCATTTGGAAAGCATTGTTAACAGTGGACATTTTGCCACAGATGTTTTTAAGGGACCTTTTTTTTTTTTTTGCAGCTGGCTGGTATGGGGATCTGATCCCTTGACCTCGGTGTTGTCAGCACCATCTCTCCCAAGTACCAGAGGACTTCTTAAAGTACAACTTGCTGAGTTGACATAGGTGACATGGTCTCTCTCTTATTTGCTGTTATTAAATTTCTGCCATACCTACCCTTTTCTGGTCAAAGTCACAAGAAAGTGGTAACTACGTTGTCACTTTACAATTTCCCCCTTGTCCTCATCAGTCTTTATAGGAAACTCTAGATCTCAATCTCAGTCTCCCTGAGGCTCTCAGACAAATATTTTCTACATCTTGCCTGGGCTCATTATGCCTGAAATGCCACTTGGGGATCCCAAGCCAAAGGGTCCATCCTGCTGTTTTAGATCTTTTCCCGATCCTCTGAGCACAGGCAATGAGAACTTCAGTATCTTATATTCATCATCCAATCAGTCCCCAGCTTTCACAGTTAATCAAGTTATTGAACTCTGAAGGTCAAATAAAATGACACATAGAAGAACTTTGTGGGCAAATATGGGGATGGGGTGGGCAGATAGCTGTGTTTCCTGGAAGCAGAGCTCCTTCTGGGAAGTCTGGGAAATTCCATTGTGTTCTCTTGTGGTGTCAACCCTATCTGGAAACTACTGTCTCAGGATTTCTCACCAGACATAGCTAGTTGGACTATAAATAGTAAAAATTAGGAGAAAAATATGTGAGTGTCATAGACCTACTCTCATGTTCTCGTGTGAGAACTTACACAGATGCAGAAAGTGAGGCACGTCAACAATTAAAGGCAAAAGTGGGAGAAGCTGTCCCAGACATCTAGATGTTCCCTCTTAGTTGGGTGGATCTTGACTAAAGAACATGGAAGTTCCCCAGTCCTAGTCACCTCAGAGAGCTCATGTTTAGTGCTCTCATGACTTTCAATTCCTTATTTGAAAGTACAATGAACAAAAAACTTTGCAAAAAAGTCTTTTACAAAAGGTTTTCTCTGATTTGTTATGTTCATTTACAATTTTCTTTTGTCAGAGGAGGTGAATCAGATTGTTTACTAACCCCTGAGTGGGGGTCTCAATGCAAGGCATGGGGCCTGGTGCATCTGGGTGCTCTCTGGGGAACATGGGTATAGCATAGAGGTAGGTGGCTGAGCCTCCTGACTGGGTGGTCTTGATGTGCAGGCAGTGGTGGAGCTGGCACCAGCACTGAACGAGGCTGCTGATCTTCCTTTGTGCTACAAAGCCCTGGATGACAAGAACGGAAATAAAGGCCCCAGATTTATTCTAGATCCATTTTATCTTATGCCTGTGGATCTGAAACACTGTTCAAATAATCATAGTAGATAATAAAATTCCTTCCTTTTTGGATGGTCATTTAGGAAGGACCTCTTTTTTCATTTGATAACTAATTTTCTTTGAAAGATAATGTTAAGGGTAAATTTTTTTTTTGGTGGCTGGCCGGTACAGGGATCCCAGCCCTTGACCGTGGTATTTTCAGTACCACCCTGTCCCAAGTGAGCTAACCGGCCAATCTGAGGGTAGATTTAAAAATTCATTTCTTCTTTGGATCCCTTATATAGAAGAAGTCCCTTCTTGGAAGTTCTCAGAACCTTCTGGGTGCTCTGGGTTCCTGATGCCGTGAATTCATTCTCTTAACTCATACCCAGGCCAAAGCCACCAGATCATAAATGTGGCACCTAGAAACTCCTCCATGCTTAGGCCTTTCCAAAGCTCATGGAGGATTTGATTCCGGAATGTGGAAGTCTCTGACCTAAAGTCTTCAGATAAATGAGGGTTTGTTCCATTTCTTTTACGTGTATTAGTAATATTAGTAGATTCTTCAACATGAAATGAGTTTTTGCGACTGACTGTTGCCAATGGAAGCAAGCAAGCAGTGCCCTCTTCAGGTCGGAGAGACAATTACTGATGCAGTTCATAAGATACACTGTTCCGCAGGGAAATTACTTGGTTTAATAAAAAAAATCTATCCTGGAAGTAATCTGTTTATACGAGTTTCAGATTTCTATTTATACTCAAGAGCCCTCAGCAGGGTCAGATACAGGATGCGGGTACCTGAGGGGCACTGTGTGCTCACTGCACAGAAGAATATGTTTGAGTCACGGAGCTGGAAATCCTTTACGTTGATTTTCATTTGGATGTTTTAAATATCTTTTGTTTCTTCCCTTTTACTGTTTGTCTTCAGTGATTGTTGATTTTCTGAGGTGGTAAGATATTGTTTCTTTCTCTTTCTC